GCTGAGACAGTTCTCTCAACTTCAGTTAATGTTCTTCCTGTGCTGTCAGGAAGACAAGATCTACGTTTCTGAGCTTCTCTTGCAGTGAGCTGGGACTACATGACTGAGTGCCGGCCAATAGGATGTGAGCCGAAATAAGGTAAGTTGCTTTCAGCCTGGCCCCTGAAATCTCCGGCAGAACCCTCCATTTGCTCTTCCCCAATCTGTTCATCACTTGCAAAGAAGGCTGTGGAGGACACTGAGGTCTTGGGAAATAATGAAGTGACTGATCATTCTCCCCATGGCACCAAAATTTCAAATGGCTGCACTAAATGAAAGGAGACGGAGTCCAGGAGTAAGTGCGTGGAGCAGAGCCCCCTCTCGTTCCCCACTCCCCTCCTCACTTCACCATCCCACCTGCCTACCCACAATCTTGTTGGACTGTGATTGGAACAAGAACTCCCACTCTGTTTATGATACGTGATGGGCTTGGGGGATTGTTTGTTATGGCTAATGCCTAAACTGACTCTTGACTAATACACGTATGCCTTCCTAAAAGAAGCCATCTGGGTCCGGGGCCTCCAATCAGAACCTTCTCTATCTTGTACATGGGAATGGAAGTAAACATTCTTAGAGAAAAATACCTTCCTAGGGATAAATGTTTCCTTACCCTTGCCTTTCCATAGAAGAGAGGGAATGTCCCAGAAGAAAAAGTAAACTAGAAACTCTTTTAATTTTTTCCCCAAGGGGAAGACATAGAATTGGTGAGTAGATAAAGAAACGGAGCTCGGCCCTTGCAAAGCCAGTCGGGGCTCCAGAAGCCGCCTTCGCCGCGCTTCCCCATGGTCAGCTTGTAGCCGCGGACTTCACGCTGTCCTTGCCTACCTGTGCAGGGACCAGGGGAGTCTCAGGCTCTAGGGGTTCCCTTTTAGGACAGCCACATGACTTCACCCCCATGGCATATCTTCCGATCCAGCTCTTCTCAGGCATAAAGCAAACATTTTTATCTCTATCTAGTAACTGTGGTTATCTCTCAGTTGGTTCCAAACTGAGGGAAAGAGGAGCGTAATTTGTCGGTCCCCTAAAAACCCCACAAAGACTAGGAAAGGAGCTGCCCTCTGGAGCAATAGCCCAGAAATGGGGCCAGCTTAGAAAAATCATTTTTAACGATGGAAGTCAAGGTGACTTCAAGAGATTTCTTTTTTTAAATAGGGGCCGAAAGGAACTCAACTGGCAGTGGCTCCTCTCTTCCTAATCAATTTCAGATTACTTTCACTCTTACCTTTTACATATTAAGATTTAAGATTTCATTACAGCAAAGAGTTCCATATCTCAAAATCACTCAAAAATCTCCGATTTAGATAATCCTTTAGGGTAAAGGACATATGAGCTTGTATATGAATAAGAAATTCAAAATTCCATTTCTTGCAGTTTTTTTGCCAATGACAGTGGTCTGCCATCGTGGACAGATACTGGGACGCCGGGAGAAACCTGGTGGTTGGCTTCTGAATGGAAGCTCTTTCAGGGATTAAAGAAGAGAGGTATCCCAGTTCTCTCAGCGGGCGGGACAGTGGTGCTCCGCCTTTCTTTGTGTCGTGGGCAGAGTGTGAACGGCTCACCGGAACAGACCAAATAGGTTTACCAGTACCCTTTGCTAGGCCGGAGGTAGAGTTCTAGGAGTAGCAGCAAGCGCACGTTGCACTTAAGAATTCAAGAGAGAACAGTTGGCAGGTTATTACAGCACTTTAGGGGTGTGTTCGTTTCCTAGGGCCGCTTAATAAATCACCACACACTTGGTGGCATAAACCAGTAGACATTTATTCTCTCAGTTCTGGAGGCGAGAAGTCCAAAATCAATGTGTTAGTCAGACCACATCTCCTCCAAAGGGCCAAGGGGATTCCGCTCCTTGCCCCTTCCAGCTTCTGCTGGCATCCGGTGAGCTCTGGCTTCCCCGTTTGTGGCCTCAGTGTGCCCGGTCTCTGATTCCACACGCACACCGCTGTCTCCCCAGTGCATCCAAGTCCTCTCCGCCTCCGTCTGTCAACTATCCCCTGCATGCCCCTCACAGGACACTTGTCAGTGGATTTAGAGTCCGCCTGGATAATCCAGAATGATCTCCTCACCTCAAGATCCTTAACACCTGCCAAGACTCTTTTTTCCAAATAAGGCCACATTCATGGGTTCCGGGAACTAGCACATGAACATATCTTTTGGGGGCCACCATTCAACCCACCATAGGGAGACCAGAATTTTGGGGAGTATGTAATAATTAAACATTTGAAATAATGTTTGAAATACTAAACATGATGAAATAAACATTTTTTTTTTAGCAGAACTGCCCTGCTTCCCTGGTCCAGTCTTGCTTTGTAGTTGGTGAGTACCTTAGAGAGGCCTTTCTAAGGTGGGTAGGTCTCATTACCTGCAGGACTTCTATTTTGCTGAATGTAGCATTTTACAGCCAGAGCTACACTGACCAAGACATTACAGGGGCCTGGGAAAGCCACATGGGGGAGGATGGAAAGCCAGGGAGCCCACTGATAACTAAAGAGGATTTCGGATGAAATGGATTCATTCCTTCAATGAACGCTGATCTCGAGAAGCCTGTGCAAACCCAGCGGGGGTGTGATGGCAGACAGACAGACACGGTCCCTGCTCTCAAGTGTGGGGAGTCACTTGCTTTCCGCCTAATGTTCAATGTCAGCCTCTCCACCTTCACCCCCCCTCCAAAAAAAATCTTCAGCAAAAGCTACTGCTTTCTTGTGCTCTGCAGATGAGCTTGAGGGAGGAGATGGGAGGAAATACTATCTTGTTCCTGGGCTAGAACGAGGCAAAACCAGAGGCTCCTCCAGGAGGCCCCGCACGTGGTTAACCTTGTGCTACCAGGCCAGCTGGACATTGCAGGCGCTCAGCTGGGATCGACTTCCCACTTCTTAGAACGCAAGAGCACTTTGATTTGCTTTTGGAAAATTACCTCCCCCCACCCATTACAAGCAGTTTTAATGGGACTGTCAGTCAAATGTTTTTTCCTGACTTCCTAGCCAAGGAAAAACAACAAGTCCAAGCTGGGCCAGTAAGCCTCGGGCATTGAGTCCTAAGGGGGAAGACGCAAGCAGACTCAAGGCACAGCGGATTCAGCCCAGCGGGCGGGGTAAAACAAGTTCCTGCTGCCGGAACCCACGGGGCCCTTCCCACGTCAGGTTTCCCAGCAGGCCCTTGGGATCTGTGGAGTGTTCTATATCCTCCTAATAAATTCCCTTTGGCTGAAGTTAACCAGAGTCCTTTTTTGGTACCAGCAATGAAAGAACGCTGATGGAAGGGATCTGGAAGTTCAAATCCTTCCCCTCCAGGAAGAGGTGTGGGCACCTCCAGTGGATGAGGGCCTGCCCTGGGAACTGACGCATCTTACGTCCTAAGCGCCAGGTTTACTGCTTCTCTATCAGGACAGTTTCCAGAGAAACCCATAGTCTGCCTTAAGCTAACCGAGATGGCCCTTCGCTAGCAGGGACACTCATGGCGTCAGCACAAGCCCGCGGGAAAAGGCCCACACGCTGGCAGAGGAGAGGGATCAAATTCATCTGGGTCAGCTTACAGCTTCAAGGGACAAACTGAGCTTAACAGACAGTTCCTAAGTGATCCTTAAGCCATGCACCTAAATCCAATTCCGCGCCCTCTGTGGGGCGTTCCAGCTTGGCTGGCCCCGATGTGACAGGGTTTTCTCATTTCCTAATGCAGATGCACTCCTACATGCCTACAGGCCTACAGCCAGGGGAACTGCCCAGGGAAGAAACAGCTAAATCCATTCCTTCAACTGCTCTTCCCAAACACTCTCGCGCCTGCCTTCCGTCCATACTGCGGCTCCTTTGCCCGGAACGCCCCCAGTATTCACACCCGTGCACGGACTACTATACACTGTAGACAGAAGCTGCTTATAGCTGCTTTTTTCTTTTTAAAGTGTCTCAATTTTTAATCCACTCTAATACCTCCAACCTCTTCTAGTATCTTATTTCAGGAGACTATGATTCCCCTATATGAACATAAAATCTTTTAAGGCTCCCAGGGGACCAGGCTCTCAGCTCTCTCCCTACACAGGCCGAGTTCCTCCCCAGCCCCTTGCCTGGCCCCAATTTCAGTTCAGTGCAGCAAACAGATGAGCACCTGTACACGGCAAGCGCTGGGCTGCGTACCGGGAATACGACGATGGAAGGGTGTCATCACTGGTCTCATGATGCTAAAAGACCACAGGACAGACATTGAACAAATGACTATAGGTGCGATGAGTGTCATAAAGCAGACATCAGGGTGCAAGTGGACCGTGTGGGGGACATCCTGCCCTGCCTACAGAGCTATAAAGGCCTCTCCTTGATGAAATGAGGTTTAAGCTGGAAGGGGCCTGAAGGCCAGGGACAGGGCCTTTGCAAAGCTGTCCCCAATTCAGGAAGACTGTGAGTGCTACAAGTTCCTTTTCAAATTCATGAGTTTAGCGTTAATAATGTATTTTTTTCCACAGAAACACACAGTGACTAGGTTTTCCAGCTGGTCCACCAGCACCCAATTATTTATAATGTGCTGCACCAACAATACCTATAAATAGCATTAACTGGTCTTGTTTCTATGGGAAAACTATAGCGAGCCCTGATGTCCAACGGAAACCCCTGCTCATAACCCCTCGTCCTCCTCGTGAAGCCCCCACAGTGCTCCCTTGGAGGCCTCTTCCACCCATCCCCGAGCTCCAGCCGCACTGCCCGCTTCAGGCCAACCCGAGAGCTGCACCTACCCTTCTCCCTGCACCCAGCAGCCCACTCAGAATTCGTCCTTGGCTCGGCAGCCCCTCCGCTCCACAGCCGTCTCCCCCAGGGCTCCAAAGCATCCTGCTTCACTGAATTAAAACCCGCAAAGTCTGCTTCCACGAGCGAATCCTGCAGATACACTCCAACGCGCAAACAGAAGTGCTGCTGTGTCGCTACAGGGGCAACAAACACTGGGCTCTCCCGAACGCCCAAGAGGCGGCTGGTTACAGAAATGACGTAGCATCTCAAAGAGGGAGCAAAGGAGAGGTAGAGAAACTTATGACAGACAATGGTCAAGTTGTACATTTTAATTTACAATGTTTACCAATAAAAATGATTAGTTACAAAAAGAAAATTTCTCTATACAAAATAAGGATTTTTTTTCATTCATAAAGAGAATCCACTGTCATGTCTTGCCTTGCCAAATCAAATCTCAAATAGCCTGCTTAGCTAAAATTATTCCCAAGAGATAGGTAATCCAGACAAGATTAATCAAATCATCAGCTTCCTAAATACATCTAAGAGAATGTAATGAACATTTTGCCTTAAAGGACTCTGTAACAACCAGTAGAAAAACCTCGGCTCTCAGGCAGCTGCGTTGCTAAGAGGGCACAGAAGAGACTCCAGTCCACTTACCACGAGGTCGTCTGACAACGAGGGTCTACTCCGGGACAATGAGTGCACAAGCAACGTAACAGGGAAATGTACAAGTACATTTTATTGTGGCCACAGGTCAAGAACAGAATGTATGACAGCTAAGGTTCAGTCTTCCCACCTCCTATTTTGCCATATAAATTAAATGTGGAGAAGTACACACAAACCTGATTAAAAACAAGGCGCTGTTTTCAAACCCCCCATCCTAGGATAACACACAGAGCGGGTTAAGAGTGGGGCAACGGGTGGTCATCCTGTTAGCGCGCCATGTTTCCTCGAGAGAAACGTGGTCAAGATGTTCAAAGCCATTTTAGTTCACTAAAGTATGGCAGCCACTCAACGCTGCTCCTAGCAGTTTGCTTTTGGAATAAAACATCAGATGAGAAACTGTATGAAACCCCATAGCCTTTCAAAAACTTAATTCTGCAACATGCCTAGATCTGATGGAAAAGGCCACCTATGAGAAAGGAGTTGTGGGTATTTACACTGGTCTGATGTACATTCACAACTCAAAATGATAAAGACCCTCAAACACAATGATTCTAAAGCCATTACAACCCAAAATTATGTGATTCACCTATATGTGCTTATATTAGTTCTTAAAATATGATCTTTGTATGGAGGAGCTATGCCCTCCTCACAATTAACTGAAGTATTTGGCCATTCAAGGGAGGAGGGCAAAAAAATGACAATTTAAATAGGGTATAAGGTTCTCCCCAACACTCTATTCCATAAACATATACCCAGGATGAGAATGAAATGGAATCAATGCCCAGGGGCCTTTCAAAGACAGCATCTCCCTGTGACAAATGTGATTTGGAACTTTCTAGCACAATACAATCCAGCTATACTCTGGGCACACACACACACCAGTGTGCCTTACATGTGAGATGCAATGGGATTATGCTCACCAAGGATTAAACCTGGGTAAGATGCAACTCCACTATGGCTGTGATCACTTAGGAAAAAATGCCTAGCAACAACCTTCATGCCTTATTAACACCAATCTGCGGCCGCTGCTGACCCAGCAGTGCTTTTTAAAATAAAAACTTCTGAAACGGTGGCAAGGGTTGCAATTGGGATACCAGGTCCCAGCGACTGTAAAAGCCGAGAAGCTCTTCATCCGCTGTTCCAAGTCTTCCCCCTATTGTTACAGTTCTGCCACCCAAGGGAAGAAAGGTTTGCACACGCTTTTCGTGACCAAGCCTTGGCAAAAGTCAATAAATAAGAGAGCTTGTCAAAGGCAGAACCAGTTTATGGGCAGCCTCCTCTAGTTGCAAGTCTGGGGGTTGGAAAAAAGTAGGAGGAAGGGATGTGTGCAAGGAACAGGCAAGAGTCCCTTTGACAAAGATTTGGTGGCCCAACCCGATGCCCAGGTTGGTGAAAGCAGACAAGGACCTACCAAAACCCATTATTCAGATGGAAAAGGAAGAGGAGACGCCCCAAACTAGAGTCATTTCTGAACTTTGCACAGTTGACGTTTGTTCTTCATAGCAGTAAGGACTTGAATGAGAATCAGGAAAACTTGAGGAACACTTATATTTTCCTTCAGCATTTAAAAAATGTTGTCTTGTACTGAAAGACTACATTCAGTGTGGGTCAGGTCCACCAGTGTCTGCCAGAACTCGAGCGTTAAGCACGCCCAGCACTGGGAGGAAAAATTCAACTGAGCAGAGTGGCTGGTGGGCAGGCCAGAGGCCACTCCTTCACTGGTCCCCCAGCCGAAAACCCTGTCCCCAGTGGTGTCTGCCGCCTCCACCATTCTGATCAGCAGCTCGCCTCATGCTCGCAGGGGGCACGCCGAACCCCGACACCCCTCCTCGCCTGCTAGGGAGCCAGCGGTACCTGGAGCAGAGACGGGAATAAAGGGAGAGAAGACAAGGTCACCACCGCATCGTTGTCAGATGCTTAGCCCATCTCCCTTTCCCATGTCCCCCATTCTCACAGTGAGTTATATTAGTCTACGGCCAGTGGGAGGCTGGGGACAATGTCTTATTAACTTGCCTTTTCAGCACTTAGATCAACTCCCTGACCACAGAAAGCGCCCACATTTCAGGTTTCTTAAATATATTAAGTTTTCAGCTAAATTCACAGTCTAAAAATCTGTGATCTTTTTTCTGATCATGAAAGGAATTCATGCAGAATAAGTAAAATATTACTCCCACAAGCCTGACCACTAGAAAAAAAAAACACCTGTATATAGTATTTTGATGAACCTACATAGGGATCAAAGGATACAAAATAAATCCACTTTTAAGGGACCACCGCGCAGCCCGTGCGTTTCAGCCCCGGCGGCGCTGCTGCGTGCAAGCGTCTGGGTTCCGCAGCGTCCATTGGGGCGACTAGAGAAGGCAGCTTTGTGTCTTGGAGTTCTGGGCATGTTTTTATTCATAATCTGCCCTCCAACTGCATTCTTTCCATCTCATAGATGGTGGGAGAGTTGAAGCCCAAGAAGATTTGCTGGTTTCCCACTTGATGGTTTCATAATTTACGAGTCATAGAACAGCTAAGACTTAAACTCAAGTCCAGGTTCTCAGTTTTTCCAACTATTTCCCTTCCTTGACTATTAGTAAACTGAGACTATGTTTAAATTTATTCCATTTCACAAATGGGGAAACTGAGGCAAGACTGAATAAAAGCTCTTCTAGACAGACGGTCCGGATTCAAACCCCGGTGGCCTGGCCCCGGACCTGTGACCCGCACCGCTGACGACGTGCACTCCAGGTCTCATGCTGCGGGCGAGACCCACACAGCGTGGATCCGGTGACAGTCCTCAGTGACTGCAGCTGTAAGGTTTACATCACCCTGCGTCTTCACGCTCCCTCCCTTTTAAACAAAAAACAACTGCATAGAGCAGAGCAAAGGATGTCTACTTTTCTAGGTGGAATGCAGAATAGTGATGTATCTTAGAATTCGCTAATTCCCTTCTTTCCCTTTGAACAAATACCACACTAAGTCAAAATGTATTTCCAAGCTCTGTTTCTCAACATCCATGATGTTTTGGTATAATATTCCTCCAGAGTATATAAGAATATTCTTTTTTTTTTTAAGATTTTTTATTTTTGGAGAGAGAGGAAGGGAGGGAGAAAGAGAAGAGAAATACCAATGCGTGGTTGTCTCTCACGTACCCCCAACTGGGGACCTGGTCCGCAACCCAGGCATGTGCCCTGACTGGGAATCGAACCGGCGACCCTTTGGTTCGCAGGCTGGCACTCAATTCACTGAGCCACACCAGCCAGGGCCAGAGTTTATAATAAAATAGAACACTTAAAAAGGCAGTGCTGGGGCTGTCTTGCTTTGGTTCTTACTGTAAGACAATATGGAAGCCATCTCCACTGCTTAAACAGATAGTGAAATTAAATGCAAGTAATTAGTATAAAAAGACACCCAATTATACATAATCAACAAAAATTTATGGTAATTTCAAAGCAGTTACTGTTTTTGTAAGGAACTACATTTTGTCATCTGATCTTTATGCAAAATGTAACAGAAGGGCTTTCACCAACAGAGAGAGCTCAAAAGGCAGGCAGGCTCCAGCATGCTGTTGATTTTGCCACTAGAATCTCCTGTACTTTGTTGCCCACAATTGAGAAATATCTCCAAGCCATTAAGTCAGAATATGGCTATTTGAAGTATAATAACTGTTGGCTGCTCCCCAAAGCACCAAGTTTTTTTTTGTTTGTTTGTTTGAACTGATGCATCTGCCATCTGACTTGATAGACCTAGATCAAAAATCCAAGCCTGCTGTTATTGTGTGTCCTTTGATAATTAGAAAGCAGATTGGTCATTTGTTTTTTCAGCCTGGAGGCAACTCAAGATTCAGAAGAGAAACAAATTCCTTTTTATGCTCTTAAAGGAAAAAAAAATCCAACAACGATAGTGTATTTCCCTGTATGTATATTCTATTTCATAATAAAATTATTTCAGAAACCTACCCCTAACCTAGAGAAGGGGGCGAGGGTTTGGGAGTGGGACGCCTACTCCAGTTTCGCTGCCCCCATGGACCGCTTGGAAGAACGACAAACTGCAAAACACTAAAACAAGCAAGATGTGAAAGGGCCCGGTGTGCATGTGTTCAGGGTTTTAAACATAAGCTATTTCTGCACACCCCCAGCTGGAGGTCAGGTGCACCTGCCAGCCAGGCTGTGACATGCAGCTGGTGGTTTCACTGGCCCCCTCTTGCACAGCCTCTGCTTCACGGGCAGAATGGCTGTACCACTACTGCCACGCTCAAGTGTGTCAGCATCTCCTCTGGGTCGCCGCACTCCACCCTCAGCCCCCACCGCAGGAACGGGCTAAGAGCTCGTATTTCCTGAGTGCCCCTAGTGTGCCGCCAACGGTGTGCCCTGCCTCCTGCAATCCTGTGAGCCAGGGCCTCCCCCCGACCTAGCAACTCGCACATGGAAGCTGGAGGCTTTATTCAGTAAGTTTCCCAACATCAAAACTAGGAAATGAGGAGAATGGGATTCCAACCCAAGTCTCTCTCAGAACCAAAAGTGATGTCCTCGGCCGCCTCCCTTGAGTCAACCGTAAAAGCAGAGGACTGTATAAACCTCCAGTCTCATTTTAATTCCTAACAGAAAAGTGTCTTACATGGCTGGCCAATAGGCTAACTTATCCCTCTTCACCCTCCTCATCCAAACTCCTGGGTGACACAGATAACCCGGCGGTCCCAGCCCACTGCCAGGCGCGCTGAGCCGCACACAGGCGCCCCGCCTTCTCAGCTCCCTGTGACGCCCGAATCGGGCCTCAGTGGCCCACAGTGGGGCTCTGTGAAGGAGACTGAGCTGGGGCTTCCATCCCCAGCTGCCTGTGACTCTGTGACCAGGGCAACTCATTTGCTGGCTCCCATTTCTTAGGACAGAGAGGCAGACCCTACCCTTCGTGGAGTTTTTATCAGCGTACAGAAGAAAATGGGCAGTAAAATGATTGTTAAATGGGAGAAGAAAAAAACACTTACAGAAACTGAGGTGTGGATAGAAAATTTCTTCCTCCCAAGTCCATTGGGTATCTGAACATTAGGAAGAAATAAAGGTGTCCAACCAGATTTCCAATGAGCTCATTGATTACCCTGCAAAGAGAGAAACAAATCAGTTCAAAGACATTCATGCGGTGGAGGCGCAGCAAGTTTTAACTAAGGGCACAGGGAAGAGATCCTTCACGCGGCCCCCTTCTGGTCCCTGGGGGTCTGTTGCAGCTTGACAACGCACCTTTCTGTCATCAGAGCGAGCAAACGTGTCCTGAAACCAGCCCTGATGGACCAAGGGCGCTGGTGCTCCCCAAGGCCAGCTGGCTGCCCCTCTGACATCTCTTTCGAGCCCCAGCCCAACCTCAAAATGTTGTTTTTGCTACTTCCCGCCTTAGGAGTTGGGGGGGGCTGCAAACTTTTGAATGCTTCCAGGCATGAATACTGTATTTGCGAAACATGGGCAAACGATGCAGGCCAGCAGGAGAGAGGCATGGGAGCTGGGAGCAGAGGCCCCGAAGGTCTGCTCCCCGGTCCTGGGGCAGGGAGCACCCCCTCGCCTCCCGTATCCTCAGGTAAGGCATCACAGAGGCAGATCACTTCAGAACAGCAATCTTCGCCTCGTAATCCTAAAATAAGCAATGACCTTCTTCAGTTTTCCCATGGCTTACACCGAGGTCACTGCAAGAGTGTGTCCACTCTTACTGTTACATATCCTTCCTTGTCTTTGCTGCAACGGGATTCCTGGCAAGGACAAACCAACACATGCAAACGCTCCCAGATGCTGCCCTTCCGGGCGGCCTCGCCAAGCTCAGAACTGGCTGTGCTCTAAGCAGAGTCTGCTTGCTCAATTCATTCTTGTCTCCCTAGCAATACGCAGTAGCAGTCAGGACCAGACGCACTAAGAACCAGTACTATTAAAATCCTTTAAAGCATTATAAACATTGTGTACTGTAAGAAATGGGGGTTCTCAAAATAGTGGCATGTTGGTAACCTCCTCCTAGAATTCTGACTGGGTGCATTCAAGGTTTTCCTACATCTCCATGCTAATTCCACACTAGAAATTTGACCCTGACTGGTCAAAACTTCTGTACAATACAACCACTTACAAAGCTACTTCCCATCCGAGAATCTGCATTTCTACAAGTGGTAAGCAGTTCCCAAGGCCCTAAGTAACAGAGTTATTATAGGCATAGTTTTTAGGGGAGTCAGTTCAGACACAAATTAGATCTGTGTTGGCTCCGTCTGGAAGGGAACCCAGAAATGAATATTTATTCAAAAACACAGAGATGGGAGTCTACTGTAATAAAGACCTAACAATAATAAACAATCATTCAATAATAAAATGTATTGAAAGCCCTCCAATTTAATCAATTAAATCAAAATGAAATTATTTTGCAAGTATAAGGTTTCGATGCCTCCATGTTGAGATTCTTTAAAGTCCCATAAAAATTAGAGAAGGAAGATAAAAAAGAATGGAAGTCATCCAAGGATTAATTTCCAATTAAATAAACCAAACAGGGAACACTATTTGGGTTTCTGCCTGAATCAGTGCTTCCCAAACAGCTTTTCTTTTGAATTCAAATAAATGCTTGTTGCCTTTCAAAAAATAAATAAATAAGTCTAATGTCACTTACGAGCCCCCGATGATGTAGTTGAATCCAAGGATAACCCAGGGTAGATAGCAGGCCTGGAACAGAACAGACACACACATGAGCCCCACACCCACACGGGGTGCCTCTGAAGGGGCAGGACTGGACAAGGATGTCCTGACAAAAGCTTTATAAATCCTTTGGAAAGTCGTGCCAGAAATTTCTCAGGTCAGTATAGCATCACTCCAACCGTACTTAAAACTTCCTGTCTAAAACGGTCCTTCACATATTAGTAACTAGAGAGACCGGGCGCTGTGCTGACAGTTTCAAATGCAATACAGGCCCTGCGGAATTGAGAGTAACAAAGAGTTCCGAGCAGCAGATGAGTGCCCCATGCTATTAAAAGCATGGCCCATAAAAGAATCACATGAGACTCCAACCAGCATATTGCTACCAGGAAATTAAAAATACCCCATCTTTTTAGGCTCTCCTTTAACATACTTCACAAAATTACTTGAATTTTTATCTCTTAACACATTGCTATCTCGAACTAATTCTCTCACAAATAAAACAGCTCTCCAGATGAACTGAACAGCTGAGCACCGTACTAGATTCAAGACATCATATGAAGAGTTAAGGGAGTTACAAGGGACTTTACAAACTAGTAAACAAAGGGTTGCATATAGATAACTTGAAGGCAGAATATGGTAAGTACTGCAAGGGGAACACAAAATATTGCAGAAGCCCAATGGCACAACTAATTCCAGGCAGGTGACTTAGAAAACAGGTATGTTCAGTTTTGGCTCGAATTAAGAATAGATAGGGTTTGCAGGAAGAAGAATATTGAAAAAAATGCTACAGTTGAAAAATTTTGAGCAAAGGCACAAAAATAAAGTGTGTACTGGCAAAAAAAAAAACCCCAAACAAACAATGCTTTGGCTAACGTGTACAATATATAACGGGGAGTGATAAGAACAGATTTTAAAAAGGAGGGTCTCACAAGAGCATCATTCCTTCCTTCTCTCAACCCCACACACCTCCAGGAAGACACTCAGGGACGCACTCCGAGGGGCCTGAGGTACAGAGGGAGCAAGCAGTGACAGCGATAGTGAGCAAAGGACTCTGGGTTGGCTGAGGAAACGGAGGGACTGAGGAGAAGGGGTCTGCCTATGGTATACTGCTCTGCACTGACCTCTTCTGGACGAGTCAGAAAGTACATTTCTGGGCTGAAGAGGGATTTCTGCAGACAAATGAACATTTTCCCAACTCGGTTCAAGTACCTTAAATCGTGTTCCAAACCAAAACGACACAATCATTTCTCTGTTCAGCTGGGCCCAGACATAAAGCACTGACATGATCAGAGGGATCATTAGCAACTGCAAAAGAAATCAACATGTGAGGACAAGGCTCCCAAAACCCTTAACCACAGGCTTAGTATGAATTTACCACTCTTTTTTAACCTCTCCAAACACATCCTCACACTGTCATTCAAAAAACAAAAAAAAAAATTCAACTCATTAGAATTCCAATTGTTCGTTCTAATGAATCATACAGTATATGCTACAAAAATCCTGTAATAAAATACAACACAATTACAGCATCTTAGAGTCATAAATATCAGCGTCAAGCTGTTATTCGAAAAAAGGTGGCATAAAGTTTTACTTACTGTATATTCTCAATTTTTAAAAAATGTATCCCAGCCCTGGCTGGTGCGGCTCAGTGGACTGAGCGCTCGCCTGCAAACCAAAGGGTCGCTGGTTCAATTCCCAGTCAGGGCACATGCCTGGGTTGCAGGCCAGGTCCCCAGCAGGGGGCACGTGAGAGGCAACCACACACTGCTGTTTCTCTCCCTCTCTTTCTCCTTCCCTTCCCCTCTCTCTCTAAAAATAAACAATAATTTTTAAAAATCTAAAATAAATTTAAAGATGTATATCCACTATGTGCACAGAAACTACTGAATAACCATCATTCTCAATGTTCAAACATGATAAAGGAACTAGAAATGAATAAGAAAAGTAATGGTTTAGCTAACTCATGTAATGTCTTCAAAATAAAACAGCTATAATTCTATCATTTCAATATGCCACATAATCAACCACATAGTTAAAGCAATTTAAACTCTGCCAGAGGCCTTTAATTACGTATTTGAAACATACAAAAGGGCAGACGGATAGTTACAACTCACCTGCATGTCCATCGCTAAGCCGGTAATCTTGGTTTGTCGGTTAAAGATCAGAGAAAAACAAAGCATTCTGCACCCAGTAAAAGTTCGGGTCCTCCCAGTGTTCTGAGGGAACACACTGTTCTATAGCTCAGGTGGCTAAAATATCCCAGGGCACACGGGTGTCTAATAATCTTCATTATGCGCATCCTATCAGACGCCACAATGACAGGAAAAGGGCAGAGACTACCTGCTTCGACATATGCTCAGTGTGGTCGCCTGCGCCCTCCTCCCTGGCCACGCCTCTGCATTTCAGCCGCTCTCCTTCAGTCAGAACGAGGGGATGCCTGCGCCTTCTGAAACAAAAGCTGGTTCTGCAGGGTCAGGGATGCACAGCGTGGCTCAAGTCAAAACATTTTTTTCTTTCCTTAAAGGGGGAGAAAGGAATCCAAAGTGCCACATTTTCTGGCCCTGGGCCATGTGTCAGTGGAAGCTAAGCCCCAAAGCAAGGACTGAGCCACCAAGTCCCTTCCGCGGCTCTCACCATCTGTGAAGGTCTGCAGCTGAAGGGCCGCTGACAACTGCGGTTGGAACGCAGCGGAGACACAGGCCCTGTCCTCTCCTGGGGCCGGGGACTTATGGAGGGAGGGGCTGCATCACTAGTCAGGACCCCAAGGCAAGGATAGCAACGAAGTCAGAACAGGATGCTGGTTGTAAATTAATTTTCTGTTCAGGACCACAGATTTCAAAAGCTGTCTGCGGGCCCGGAACCTCTTTGTGCCGCAGTCAACAAGCTGTCACACATGAGAACACAGAGAACTGGGAACAAGAAGACGGAGCAGTAATAAAACTCAACCGAACGTGGGAAAATCCCACGGAGGCAACAGCAAGAGAATGTGCCGCTCAGGGGCTATATGATTTACTACAGCACTGAGAAAGAACTTAGTTCTTAATTATTAACTGTAGTAAACAAAGATGCAAATACTGTCATTTGAAGTGTTGTACAGAATACTGTTTTCCCAAACCTGGAAAGAAAAAAATATACTGGTTTCTTTGTGGCCCAAAATAATACACTGAAGGATACCACGATGCAAATCCAGTTAAAGAGGAGCATGAATAAGTAGTCTGCCGGCCTCCCATCGAAAGCACCTAGAAAACAAAGATAAGCCAGATAAATGTCATGGTTCAGAATTTCAGAACAAAAGAAATCACTTGTATATAGAGAAACGCTTCAAAAATTATACAGGAAGCCAACATGAGAATACTGTTAAATCACTCCTCTCAAATAAGAGTAAATTTTTAAAAATATGTAAATCTGTGTCTCAGTGAAGCCCGGAACTGCAGTCCCCTGGGAAGGCAAAGCTGTGCTTTCCCGACTGGGTTCCAGTAAGCAGTGCTCCGAGGGCCACCGGCTAAGAGACCCAAAGGGAGGACCCGGTTCCACAGCGACTGAGACGCCGCCACGGCCCGTCCGCCTTTCCTTCGTGGCTCTCACTGTGACCCAACGACACATCTGGGATCACGCGGTCAATCCTTCTCCTTCTACTAGGCCGTAAGCTCTGTCAGGGGACAAGCCCCACCTGTCGGGCCTACTGCTGTGCCTCCCGCAACAGGACTGTGCTGGGAGCTACTTACTATTGTTGCTAGACAAGACACACACACACACACACACACACACACACACACTCTCTCTCTCTCTCTCTCTCTCTCTCTCTCTCTCTCTCTTTCCCCCTCCCCCCCTTTCTCTCTCAGTCCAGCGCTGGGCTGACTGAGAGGATTCCATCTTCATTGTCAAGGAGCTTGCATTCCAACAAGGGAAAATTGGCGGGGGGGCGGGGGGGGGGAGCACCCAAACTTCTCCAAAGCCTCTGACTCTTTAACCTTCACACTCCATCTGGGAGTAAGAATGGAAGACCAGATCCCCGTTTTACAGACGAGGAAATAAAGTTACACAAGCAAAGTCACATGGTTTGTTACAAGCAGAATGGAGTCTAATTATTGGTTTAGTGTTCTTGTCACTGCACCGTATACCAGGTGCTGTCTTACGGCCAGAAGGAAAAACCACCACAGGCCCAGCTATCCCTTCTAAGGGAGAGTCCTGGAGCCTTCGGCAGGAAGACTAGAATAGAGGCCCAAAGAGGAGTATGTGAGTGTGAGGTCACGTGAGCTCAAGCACTTCCCTTCCCTCCCTTCCAATTTAAAAATCCTGACAAGCAACAGGATTGACACTGGACAATCCTAACAATCCTGACAAGTAAGACAGACAAAAACTGATCTAAAAAATAAAAAAATATATATTTCCAACAAATGTCTCTCCTTTTTTCCCTTATTTTCCCCCTGCTACCTGAAAGGCACACTTTAGCCACAGGGTTAGGGATGCTTAGTGGCAGGGGATCCCCATGATGAATCAGAGCTGAAATTCTTACAAATACTTCAAATTTTAATGATAGTTTTGCTTCTTTTTGATGTGGTTTTAGCTTTGTGGTATCTAAAGATTTTTTAGATTGGATATTTGAAATACTGTAATCACATAAACTACCATACTTTATTATTTGGCAAGCTTGCAACTGGGAATTTATAAATTAACTGGCTTCGAATAGCAATCTTCGGTTTAAATCAAAACCATAAATAAGCCAACGCTGCTATATACTTAATTTAGCCAGGCAGGAACATACACGTGTGGCAGACATTTTGTCCAAACGTCGCCCCGAGGTCGTGTGGCAGAGCGGAGACTGGGAAGCAGCGACCTGGGCGCCAGCCCTCGCTGTGCTCTCACGCCACTGTGTGACCTGTGGGACGCGGCAACGCTCTCCAGACCACTGCTGTCTTGTCTATAAAATCTATTTAAATGGAAAGATCTTAAAAGTTCCTCTTTACACAAATGTCCATGGCAGCCCTACCCGTAAGAGCCAAAAAATGAAGACTCAAATGTCTTATCAACTGATAAATGGAAAAACACTAGGTGGTGATCCCACACAATGGAATCTTATTTGGCAATAAAAAGGAGTAAGTGTCAATCAATATACGCTACACGGAAGAACCTTGAAAACACTATGGTAAGTGAAAGAAGGCAGCCACAGTTTCAAAGACCATGTATTACATGATTCTGTTTATAAGAAGTATCCAGAATTACACACTTTTAAATGGTTAAAACACTGAGTTTCATGTTACATGAATGTTTCTCAATAAAAAGAAAAAAGGTTCATTAACCTTCTACTTTTATAAATGTTTGAAATTTTTCATAACAAAATTTTTAAAAATGCATCATGGGTAATCTACACTTAATCTAGTGTTTACTACTGATATCAAAAAACAAACAAAACAAAACATTATTCCAACAATTTCATCTTCAATTAAATTATATCACAGGGTGAGAATACTAAGCAAGTCAGTCTCATGTGAGGTCCCAAAGGGACAAGGGAGAATGAAAATCATCTCTTCTGGTGGATTTCCGGATCAAACCCTTGATGTGGTGCTGAGTCCTGCTGTGAGTTTCACCTCAGGCAAGTTTACTTCCATCCTTTTCCTCCATAACTTGGGCTAGGACCCTCCCAGTAGTAATGGTCTACGGCCTGACACTTTGCATTAATGTAACAGTTTCTTTCTTTTTAAAAGGCACCTAGTAGCAAACACCCATTTAAGGAAAGATTATATTTGATACATAAATGGCCATTCTTCTGGCTCCCTGCAGTTAGGAGACTGATTTGCAATGGTCAAATTGGCAGATTTAACGGTGGTTCACAGTTCTCCATCCTGAGCTAAGGACAGCAGGTTTATAAAGTCTGTAGTCAGCCAACCTCTTCAAAATCATTATATTCACATTTTGACATAGCAGTATCGATTTATTGCTTTTCAGGATAAGCAACTCAGAACAGCCAGCAAGATGTTGTAGGAAATAAATAACAATCAGTAAGAAACCTTGTAAGAAAAGATTTTTATAAGAAAGCTTATCCATAACATCACAGAGGAAATCATATCTGATAAACTATCACATTACTAAACCCCTGCTGTACAAGTATATTTTAAAGTTCAGTGATTCAATGACAGAGCATCAGTCTAGGCTTTTAATTGCATAAGGTGTGGTTTTTCAGCCTCAATCTAGGAGATATGTACCCTTCAGCCCAACTGTGCACTAAAGGACACAGTTGTGTGACAGAAATGAGTGAAATGTCACATTCCGTGAAAGGCAAACAGCACAACCACTGAGTACATGGGTAAGCATTTGTAAACTCCCGGTCTTGTTGGGGGTTTTTTTGTTTGGTTTGTTTTTTTGTTTTTTTTTTTTTTTTTTTGGTCTATAAAATGGGGACACTGCTACCTACATCTTATGATGATGCTGTGAGGATTAAAAATCAAATATTCCAAGTGCCTAGGAGAGTATGCACTATCATTCTGCCCTTTCTTTACATACGCTAACTGCCCTCAAAAGTCCTCCAAGCAAACATATGCATTAGTAAGTTAAACAGAAACAATTCTTAAAACGACTTTGGATAGCATACCTGTTTCGAGTCGCGTAGAATACTGATATAAGAAATATAAATTGACCAAATAAAGAAATCCAGTTCCTGGACCCACAGGGAAGAAAAAGGTGGCAGTGACTGGTCTCCAAATCTGTCCAGATCAAAATAAACACGGCTGTTAGTTTCTATAAGCCTGGTTAATTTTTTTTTTTCTTTTAACTATACAAAATTAACTCTTGCAAAACATTCTCTTTAATGATGAGAACTACTAAGGGGACACCACCAACATTATTCAAGAAAACAACTGACGGAAAGTTCGTACCAGTTACAATCAACAGTGTGCAAATCAGCTGGAATAAAACCACATCACAAAGTGAGCAGCGAATATTTCTAAGAAAGCCGAAAAAAATAAGTCAATACTATAGAAGTATATGATCCAGCATGCAGTTAAGCCTATCAAAAATAAATTGCAAAGACAATTTCCAACAGTACAGTAACATATCTATTCAGAAGAATAACAACACTACTCGGATGACAAATCTTGTCAAAAAATGTCACCCTCAAAAGGTAGAAGTAAAATGAGATTTTTTTCCCCTCTAAATCACTGTGCTTTTTAGGCAATATAGACACTTGACTTTACAGTATTAACCCTCCACCACCCAACAAAAACATTACGGAAACTTCTACAGTGAAAAGTAAGCCTCTCTTCTGATCTTCAGTCTCCCAGTTCCTTTCACAGAAACAATGGATCAGTTTCTTGTATTTCTTTCAAGAAATAATAGTAAATGTTACTACTATTCATCCCCTTTCTTCCTACTTTATATCACACTGTTCTATACTTGTTTCACTCCCTTGAAAAATATACTTATTGCCTTCATAGTATTTCTTTCATGTGCCTATCTAAACTTCATTTAAACTGTTACGAAGCTACACTGAATATTCTTGAATATCCTCTTTATACATATACACATAAGATAAATTCCTGTGAGTCATTCTGCTAGATCAGACAGCTGTATTTAATTTTGGTAGATTTTGCCAAATGCCGACAAAAATGTTTAGCCAATTTATACTTCTTCCTAAAATGTAGATTAATGCCTGTCTTCTCTCAACACCCTCGCCAGTTAGTGTATTTCATATTCACCAATTATGTTTTTAAAATTTTATCACTTCCTTTCTTCATTTTTCTGCTAGATTTGCATATTTTTATACATTATGGAAATTTCCCTTTCTCACTGTAGCAAATATTTTTTGGACAGTTGTTAGACTTATGTTTTTATAATATTCTGCCATGTAAAAGTTTAATTTAATGTAGGCAAATGTATCATGCTTACAAGATACTTCACTCCAAGAAAATACAAGCGCTCACAGTTTTATTTCAGCATATTCAGAAGGAGTGAAGGAGAGATCCAGCTGACGCTTCTCGATGGCCACTCAGGTGTCCCAATCCTATTTACAGAGTAACCCATCTTTCCTCCATGGATTTGAAAAAGTACTTTCATCATATATTTATTCCTTTGCATAAGATCTACTTTTAGATTATTCTGTTTGGAACTGAATTGCTATACCAATACCCACCCATTTTAATTTCTAGGTCTATAATTTTTCGCACTTGGTAAAGCTACATAATTAAATAATCCCCTTCCTGTTTTTCTTCCACATTTGTCACAATTTTCTTGTCTCGTCTCAGTATTTCATTTTTCTAAGTGAACTAGAACCAACATCTTTATTATGTCAATGCGACATTGCTGTCATACCGGCCAGGACACAGCCTTTCACAGCACCTACAGTTTCCCATAGAGCTGCTGCTTTCTACCTCTTCTTACACCCGCCGTCAGAACTTAATTATCTTACTGCTTGAGCTTCTGGAGCTTTCCAAATAGGGAACTCTATCTGTAAATAAAATTGTGCATCTAATTCCACGCTTGCCTAACACACTGGCAAGTACCTCCAGAACACGGTAAGTAACGGCTTTCCCAGACACTTGGAAATGCCAGCCTAAGGGTGGCTTTTGGTTTGAGGGCGGTGTGTCTCACAGCACCAGCGCACAAGACGCAGCCACTGTTCAAGGGGCGCTCAGCAGTGGGGGAGGCTGGCCAAAGAAGCAAGAGGGGATGCGAGGGAGGGGAAGTGTGGTCCTGGAAAAACGAGTACGAAGTCCCAAAGGATGGCAAGAGCACAGTGAATGAAGGGGTGCTGCCGACAGTTCGGGCGTGGCTGGAATGGAAGCCAGCGGTGACGCGGCCCGGCCTGCACGGAGCTGGCACGCTCAATTCTCCACGTGGTAGAACCTCCAGAGCTTAACTCCCTGTGGAGGAAAGTACACTTCCCATCCCCAAAGAGTGACTCTGCAAGACCCATATATTAAACCAGAAAAAGAAATTAGTTAGCGTGCATTTTGGTTTATTCACACTTTTATCATAGAAACAGTACAGCCTAGTGGGGAAAAAAAAAAAAAAACACTAGAAATCATTGGAGAAGACCTAGATTAAAGTCTTGGCTTACACGTTCTCATTTCTTGAGTCTCAATCACCATTTATAAAAGGGGGCGGCATGCTAATATTTGCCCTAATTTGACTAATGGTTTTGTTGTGGTTGTTTTTTGTTTTTGTTTTTGTTTTTTATTAGTGTACCATTCTGCTGACGCACTGATTCAGGAGGTGGATTTTATAGAAGAGGAAGCAGGATGAGAAAACTTAAGGAACAGCTAGTAAGCGGCAGGGCCAGAACTGTGTCTCAGCCTGACTCCAGAGTTGGTGCTACTCAAGGCCGCTGTTACAATGCCTCTCACCAGCGATGTCACTATAATGAGGTAAGTGGCAATTAGTGACCATTTTCAGTACTACTGTACTTCCGTAATCCTGATTCTTCCTGCCTATGAAAACCATTGTGAGTAAAGCGCAGAAGCAAGCAAACCCCGGCTTTACATAGCCAGGGGGCCTTTGAAAAGTCTGGACTTCTGAGTTTGTGTCTTCACCTACCCAATGCCAGCTGCCCTTTGACCCCGCCCCCCTTACCTCACAGATTTTGCCAAATGGTGGGATTAGGAAAGTGGATTTGAAAGCCGCTTTGTAGAAACCGTTGCTCTGTGGCTATGTGACCACTATAATCTTTCAGGAGTTGCACACAGACCTGTTTTTACAAACGCACATTTTAAACTACCCCCATAGTCCTGCAAGTCACTAGAGGCCCAATTTTAGGGGAAAAAAAATAAAGGCTTTTTCTGACTACATTTTCCACTAACACTGACAACACAACACTATTTTTAGCCACTGTGTGCACCTGTTCTTTGGAAATCAGTGTCTGTCAAAACACCTCCCTTCTGTTCTGTGTTCATTAAGCTTACCCTTGAGCTATACTTGCTTTCATTGATCTAAGAGTCTTATTATTTTTGTATTACTTTAAAATGATAATTTGAAAAGACAAGGAGATAGTTTGTCTCCTCAGAAGGACACAATGTAACGCAGCCGCCCTGAGGTTGAATGGGAGGGCACCCTCCTTCCCTTTACTCCGTATGCAAATAGTTATGATAAGGAAAAGGCCTTATTTCCAGGGCTGGGGGTGGTGGAGAGATGTTTTCAACCCTGGATAGCCTTTGTGGATTCCTTTGGAGGCAGCCGGGGCAGCACAAAGAGCCCAGGGCTTGCAGACAGAGGGCTGCGTGGCTGGTGTGCCAGGAGCTTCGGAGGGGAGCGTCTTGCTTTAACCCCACAGCGATGCCAAGGCCAGAACCAGTCACCCAGCTTCCTCCCGAGGGAAACCGGTCCCTTCTTAGAGTTTAGGTAAACCGCCCAGAGTTCCTCCCTTAACAAGGGCAAGAAGCCCAGCTGTTCACTGGCGCAAAAGACCTTCAAAAAATAAGACACTGTTCCTTCGTTCAGTCCAACAATGTCTGTTGAGAGAATGTTTAGTTCAGCTATCCTTGAACTAAAATCTCCCAAACAGTCTGCTACTGAAATAATCACACAGGCCATTCAAAAATCTAAGGCAGGTTCTTTTTTGTTTTGTTTTGTTTTTTTACTATCAAAACCAAAGATTTTTCTGAAACAAAAAAGATTGGAGTTGAAGTCTGCATGGGTCACCAAGCAATTAAGAAAGAAGAGCACCCATGTGCCAAATGCTGATGTTAGCAAACTGCGACCTTTTTTGTGTGTGTGTATACACACTAAATATGCAAGAAAAACAAATGAAAGGCACTCAGTCCCAGTTGAAGGCTTTGAAAGAGCTATTAGAAGTCATCAATTCTGCTCAACGGAAATGCATTCATTCCTCTGTTCACCAAGACATGTACCAGAATGTCCCTAGCAACACTACTCATTCTAGCCAAAGCTAGAAACTACCCAAAAGATACACTTCCAGTAGAATGGGCAAATAAATGGTAATCTATTCCCATAATATAACAATATAGGAATGAGTAATCTACAGCCACATGCAAAAACATGGGTGATTCTCAAAGGTGCTGTTAAGTGGATAGTTGCTGTGCTACGTACAAATGTCAAATCATACTGCATACCTGAAACTTATATAATGTTATAAATCAATGTTACCGCAGTAAGTAAATAAAATCAGAGACAGGTTTCAAATTCTGAGGTTAGAAATAGAACAAGGAAGTTTGCTATCTTCTTTCTAACGAACATTATACTGGAAGTTATAACCACTGCACTGCAATAAAAATAAAATAAAGGTATAAGCTTGGAAGAGAAGAAAAGAGGCTAGATACGAAAGAATTTCACTTACCACATGCAAAAAAAAAAAAAAAATGGCAAGAACAGGCTATGGAACTACAAGTCAAGGCAGGAGGCACCCTTGGAGGAGGTGGTGGCCAGAAGGGAGCCAGCTGCAGGTGCATTGCGGGGGTGCTGGTAGTGCTGTCTCTTGACCTGGGTGCTGGTTAAATACATACATTCTGTTTTTGAAAGTCCAACAAGCTATAAATATGTAGCACATCTACTTTCCTGCTTGTATCCTGTAACCCAATAAAAAGTTAAAAAACACAGCTATGTTCTAAGGGGCAGCCTTATCTGCGAACCACAGCAGAACTGTCTAATGTAGACAGGATCGCTAAGCAAAGACCTGCAAGCTGTGCTACATACCAAAACACTTGTCAGCCAAGCCCTAATCCAAACCGGGGGGGTCACTTCCCTGCTCAGCCTA